ACTGGGGACTGCACTGAGGAGCTGGGTTGGTCTGGATGCAAAGGATCAGGAAGAGAAAAGGTCAGCCCCTGTGTCCCAGAAAGAGGCTGGCAGGTGGTGCAGGCCCAGGGAAGCAGAGAGAGGTGAGGGCAGGCCCAGGCCCCGAAGCAGTGCTCCTGGCACCCAGAGAAGACACTATGTTGGTCTGGATGAAAAGGATCAGGAAGCAGTATTGGTTCCCCAGGTGTCGGGGCCCCAAGACAAGGAATGGGGCAGGACCCAACCTAGGAGGAGAGAACAGCGGGGGGAGATGGGAGGGTCAATGACGCTGAGGGAGTCAAGGCGTGGTTACCCTGGAGGGAGGCCTGCTGGTAGGAGAGAGGCCTGAGGTGGGTCTTGCAGGCCCAGGGAAGCAGAGGTGGTGTCAGGTCCCATTCCTTGTCTTGGTATCCCAGACACCTGGGTAACTAATATTGCTTCCTGATTTTTTCATCCAGACCAACATAATTTTTTTATGTGTATGAGTGTAATTCCTGCATGTATGTAAGTGCACCGATGTTGTGTAGTACCTGCAGAGAACAGAAGAAGGCTTAGGATCTCCTAGAACTGGAGTATGGATGGTTGTTAGCAGCCATGTGGGTGCTGAGAATCAAATCTGGGTCCTCTGCAAGAGCAGCCAGTGTTCTTAGCCACTGACCCATCTTTCCCTTAACTGTATTCTTGATAGTTACATAAACTCTGAATTTCAGAATCTTAATTTGTAATAATTGGGCTTTTATGACCAAATCAGGAAAAACAGAAATGAATAAAATAAACCATAAGAAGTCAGGAAAATAGCACTTAAGAATAATGAATTCCCATTGCCAAAAAGCCACTGTTACAGTGCAAATTCTTTCCTTCTCTACCCTCCTTTTGTCACTAGCTTCCTACCTCCCTTCTTTCCTTTCTTCTGTCGTTCTGTCCATCTTTACCTCATCACCCCCTCACTAACTTTTGACCATGTATTTCTTCGAGTTTAATGAAATTAACATTTAAAAAATATTGTATCTCAAGTTGAAACCAAGTAACCCAGAAAGGCACTGAGTGTTCATTTTTCTTACTGTCTCTCCAGTAGTTTTCCTTTCTGAGCACATGCTTAGTTGTGTTCTAGTACACGGAACATTCTGATGTACAGATTTAAAGGTAGTACGTTTTGAGGGTGGTGAAGAATGCTTATATAGGGTCATGATTGAATGAAGTGCTGTTAAACTCTATAATATTGATAGCAAATATATATTTTTTTCCATTTCCACAAGTACACATTAATACTTGGTACAGGGATGAAAATTAAGGCCAGTGGGACTTAAATAACAAAGTGAAGCTTTCTAATTAACCATGTCCAATTAATTTCCCCTAAGCATTGTCTTCCATCTCAGAACAGTTCAAGAATCTAATTGGTTGAAGCTGTGAACCCTGCTAGTGCTCATAGTTACTGCTTGCTCTCACACATAAAATGAAATGAATCACCAAGACATTGAAGAAGACTGAGAAATTCACTAGAAAGTAGATGAAAGGAAACAGAGAGGAATTCTTTGCCCTACATTTCAGAAAGAATAAGATGAATACAAATGAGACATTTAGAGAAATCAATAGAGCAACACTGAGGAGAGAAATCTGAAAAGAACATATTTCCCAGAGACTTGGAAATGAATTTGCTTAGCTGTATACACACACACACACACACACACACACACACACACACACACACAAAACTCATTTGTTGATAGTTAATAATCTGAGAGCCGAAGTATGATTGAGGCTAGAACTTAAAGAAAAAATTAAAATAATATTTATTTTCATCATTGTTAAGAACAATATTTTAGTTGTTTAAAATATATTTATAGGTAACTACACAGAATGAAAACCTTTCTAGTCACTCCTCTGATAGCTTTGAATGCTAAATAGTCTTCATTGTTGACAAAGAAATTCTGCTAACCGTAGATAGTTTGGGCTATATTTACTTTAAGTGCGCATGAAATAGTGGTTAATAAAGACAGCAGGGCAAAGGGAGATAAGTTTCCCATGGTTGCTGCTGTAGGAGACAGCTTGTAAACAACAGTTCCTGTTGTGAGGGGTTCCTAAGCAAGACCAGATGAGAAACAGCTCTACAATATTCCAGTGCGTGACTGTCCTCGAAAATACTAGGTCATGGAATATTTCAAAATAACTTGTCCCAGATACGACAATATTGAGTTGAAATAGTAGCACATATGGAAGTCAGAGAGAGTTGAGTCAGCGATATGTGCATTTTTGGATAGATTATGATGGTTTAAAATGTTAATGTAACATGTTTTGCTGTTAATATATTAGCTCTGCTTTTCCTAATCTAATGAATAATATGCAAACCTCATCCTTTTTCAGGATATTAAAGGAAAATTTATTTTGTGGAGTTAAATACTGATGTTTAGTTTTAAGCATTTTAAAAATAATATTTGAGCTGGTTGTGGTGGTGCATGCCTTTAATTCCAGCACTCGGGAGGCAGAGGCAAGCGGATCTCTGTGAGTTCAAAGCCAGCCTGGTCTACATAGTGGGTTCCAGGACAGCTGGGGCTACAAGGAGACCCTGTCTCAAAAAGACCAAAAAAAATACATTTATATTGTATATGAAGTATATTGTTTTTATATATTCCCATCTAGATTATAAAATATGGTTAAAATATCAATTAATGGATATTTTATTTTCCTCTGTTCTCCTTTCTTTACAGTATCATGTGTGAATAATTTCTAATAGTCTTATATCACACCCATTATGCACATTTTAGATATGCCTATGTTCAATACTATTGATTCTGAATCACATTCTAATGAAATATTTCTACTTCTTATTTTTAGAGTTAAATATTAAAATTAAGTTTACTACTACAAAAATATAAATTGCTTCTGCTTTCTTAGCATTTCCCAATATATATTCTTAGTTTATCATAAATGTCTGATCCAATGATCCTATAGAGTTTGTTTTATATTTCAGTTTTCTTGACTACACAAATTGTGAGTGGATACAGTGTTCATATTGTAGATGTTAATGAGGATTAACCTGAGAACATCATGGAAAAGAATGTTTTAGAGTAAATGAATGCAATTTCAATTGAAAGATGTATTAGCATGTAATATTGTGTCTATTGCTTCTAAATGACAGCCATTAATATGACCTTTTTCTCAATGCAGACACATTATTCTTTTATTCACAGATTTCTGACAGCAACTAAATAAATACATGTAAGTATATTTATACAAATATTCAAACAAAAATATTTTACTGAGACATTTCAGGAGTGTGTAAAAGTGGATGCAGATACATTTTTGAAGCTGTGATTGGCCAGGGAAAATAAATGCATTAACTACAACATTTATAGAAGGGGCTTTTTGGGGGGAGGGGCTGGGGAGATGGCTCAGTGGTTAAAAGCACTGACTGGTCTTATAGAAGACCGGGTTTGATTCCCAGCACCCACATGGCGGCTACGAACCGTCCTTAACTCCAGTTCCAGGGGAATCCGAAACCCTCTTCTGACCTCTGCGGCATTGCATGACACCGGGTGTACTCACTTACATGAAGGCAGTACACTCAGACACATAAAATAAAAATAATAAGTAAATTGTTAAAAAAAAAGGGGGGGGTATTTTTTGTATGCAAGCAGCTGAATTTTCACCTGAATGAATTGTACTGGCATATTCCCAGGAGTAATATTTTGAGATTTTCAAATTTGACCCTCTTCAATAGCCTTGGGGATAAGCTATTTATGAACAAATTTTGTAGTAAATTCATAGAAACTTTAGTCCTGTATCTTATAGAATAATTGTTATTCAAAATAGTTGCACTGAATAAACAACTGGAAAATAGTTGTCAAGGTTAAATTGTATTCAACTAGATGTTTCTTTACTTCAGCTATGTGGTTTTCTAAAATTTCATATGTAGGTTGTTGGTTGCTGTGACTTTTGATTCGTCAACATACTATGGTGCTTTTATCACGATGCCCCATTCACACAAGGGCAAAGCAATATAATGCATTAACCTTAATACAGGGAGGATGTTCTCACTGAGAAAAATATCCTTTATCTTTACCCTGTGGATCTTGAAGAAAGGTCACAGGTGTCATAATAAAGTCGTATAAAACCCCAGGTTAACTATCTTTGTCTGTTTGAACATAACATCTTTAAAAATATCTTTTGCCATATAAACCAGCAACAATAACTATGCCACATATTGTGTGACTATGTTGTTGAGTCATACGCAGTTGCCTTTTATGCATCACTTGTCATGGTCACCATGGCAAGAGCATAGTTTTATAAAGCTCTTGTCATTTCATAAAATGGTAAGGTTCAAAGTGAAATTTCAACACTTGCAGCACAAATACCATGTAGCAATGTTAGACACTTTCCAACAGAGCTTTTCTTTTATGAAGAATATATTAATTAATTTGAATTAAATTCACAACATAATTTGAAACAAAATTTAAATTGTAGAATTTTCAAGTGCATCATAAAATATATTTTGCCTCTTCTTTAAATTGTAAATAAAATATTGTTCCCATCAGTCACTGCAGACTAGTCAATGCAGTGTCCTTTTATGAAGATGGCAAACAGGGTTAATAAATTACAGTGTTTTGTTGCTATTTAGCATCTGGTTTCAAATTTTCTTTCAATATTTCCTTTTTGGAAACCCCTAGAGCATTATAAACTATGACACTTCAAAGATATTATATTTCTCTCTTCTAACATAGACAATTGATTTTTTTGTTCCAATGTATAAATGTGGCACTTTAAAGTATCCAGGAACTTATCTGTATCTCATGTCTATGTGATATAAATATTAGTTCCAATAACATTGTTCAATAAATTCTAATACTCTATTCACAATCAAGATAATTTTGTACAATGACATGTCAACATTTAGATCAAATTATTATAAATAATTTTAAGAATTTTTTCTCATAATTGCAGATTAAAAACGAAAACATGTTAGTCTCACCTTCCTCTTGAGAATCATGCAAAATCAGAGCTTTGTTGGAGAGTTCATTCTCCTTGGGCTTTCACAGAACCCAAAAGTTGAGAAAATACTATTTGCTGTATTTTTGTTGGTCTACCTTGTAACTGTTGGGGGCAACATGATGATTGTGGTGACCATTGTCTGCAGCCCTGCTCTGCTCGGCTCCTCCATGTACTTCTTCTTGGCATTTCTGTCCTTACTGGATGCATGCACTTCTTCTGCAATCATACCTAAGATGACTGTGGATTTGCTCTATGAGAGGAAGACTATCTCCTTTGAATGTTGCATGACTCAACTGTTTGTTGTCCATTTCTTCCCTGGAGCAGAGGTGATTATCCTGGCAGCCATGGCCTATGACCGCTATGTGGCCATTTGCAAGCCCTTGCACTACTCTTCCATCATGAACAGGAGGCTCTGTGGCATTCTGGTGGGAGTAGCCTGGATGGGGGGCTTCTTACATTCAGTTGTGCAAATTATCTTCATTTCGAAGCTGCCCTTCTGTGGACCCAATGTTATTGATCACTTCGTATGTGACTTATTCCCTTTACTGAAGCTTGCGTGCACTGACACACACATTTTTGTCCTTCTGGTGTTTGCCAACAGTGGGTCTATTTGCATCATCATCTTCTCCTTGTTGCTCGTCTCCTATGATGTCATCTTGTTCTCTCTGAGAGCACACAGCTCTGAAGGACGACATAAAGCTCTCTCCACCTGTGGATCCCACATTACTGTTGTGGTTTTGTTCTTTGTTCCATGCATATTAATATATGCTAGACCTGCATCTTTAATCTACTTTGAGAAAAACATGTTTATATTTGCCGATGTCCTGACACCCTTGCTCAATCCTATGGTTTATACTTTCAGGAATAAGGAAATGAAGAATGCCATTAGGAAAATGTGGAGGAGAATAAGAGTTTCTGATTTATATTAAAATATTTTATTTACAGAATATGAGAGATTGTTCTTCAGTTGGTAAGAGTGTTTTCTGTGTGATCATGAGGACATTTTTTGAGATCCCTATTTCCTGTGTCCACAGCCATGCAGAGCAGTGTTATTTTAACACAGTGCTAGAGAAGAGGAAAAAATGTAGATCTAATTGGCTCTGTGGACAGGTAACCTAACACTAATATTCTTATGATTATTCTATAAAATACAAAAGGAAGGAACCCTGTCAAATTCAATTACAGAACCCAACAAGAAAAAATAATGCTAATAAATCTACCTGATGAAAACAAATTCTAAAGTCCTCAAAATATACTATGCTTGCAAAGAGAATTTAAGAATACCACAAAAAGATTCTTCACATTTAACATCTTGATTTGCTATGAAAATGGCTTTGGTGGATAAATATTAGTAAACAGATAAACATAATCTACCATATTAACAGACCCAAGGAAAGAAATAACTACCACACCAGATGCAAAGTTCCTTATCAAAAATTCAATCTCCATTCTTGACAGAAGTCCTAAACAATCCAGGTATTAAGGGGACATATCTTTCCATAGTATAGGCAATATTAACAAGCACTTTCCTAATCTATGGTATATGGAAAAAATTCTGAACTTTCCTACTAAAATAAGGAATAAGATAATGAAGTCCAATCTTAGTTCCTGTAAAATACTGTGCTTGAAATGTTAGTTAGAAGGGTAAGACAAGGAAATGAAATGGTTTTATACAGAAACAGAAGTAAAAATATCCTTTTATGTAAATGATATGATTATACACATAAAATACCATAAAAACTACACCAGAAAAGTCACCACATCTGATAAATATATTCAGCAAAATAGCCAATACAAAATGAATACAAGCTCACTGGACTTCCTCATATAGCAGCAAAAATATACTGATAAAGAAATCAAGTAAACATTCCTGTTCATTCTAGTCTAAAATTTATCTTGTGATAAATCTAATTAAGGAAATGAAAGACTTGAACAATGAAAACTACAAGATACTGAAAAAGTATTTGAATAGCATATGCTTTGACATACACCCAAATAATTCTATACTCTACTACAAAATATCTGCTCATCCGTGTTCATTCCTTTTCTATTCAGAATACCCAATAAATAGAAACAAATCAGATTCACAGCAACTAATAAATGGGCAATGAAAAATATCAAACATTCCATGTTCCCCTCTTGTGGATGCTAGCTTAGAATTGTTAGATATGTGTGTTTAAATTGCAGTACTCCTAGACATCTGGCAACCAGAACAGGCCTTGAGAGGGCACGTTTAAGAAAGGAGGCATGGAATGCAGGTGGGATGAAGGAGAAATGGGGAATAATGGAACAAGAACAGTTAAATGGAATAGGGGATGAGATGACACATAGAAGACAAGTGTGGTTTGGGATAGCTAACACAAAAGACCTTTCAAAAAGTCAAATGGAAATCTAATACCAAGGAAGTTTCCTAAGCATTCACATGTGTGTATGTCAGAAGAGTTTAAATATCTGAAGTGTGTCATGTCTTTAACAATAGAATCTTACTTTCAATTCCTTTGAGTCTATCAAATGCTGTATCAATATTCTATATTATTTTGGTAGTATCTTAGAAGACTCTGACCAACAGCTCTTTGGAGATTTCAGTTCCCTGGCACTGTGCACATTGTTGTACGGCCTTCAACTAAATACGAGGACTCACATATATATTATATATTTATTCGTCAGTATGTTTATGAAATAACATATTTCTCTTTGACTTTTTATACCACCTAAGTATTATCTCTTTTTCCTTTTTCTCCTCTTGTATAGACCTTCCTCCTCTCTCCCCAGTTAGGGAATCAATCCTTTTCCACTTTCCTCATTGCAGTTGAGCTGGAAGTGATCTGAAAGCCTCCTCCTTAGAGAATAGCTCTCTTAGTATCAGTAAATACCATGTAAGATACAAAGGGATTAAAAACAAATCAATGGTCCTACCGAGCTATAAAGCCCAAGAACCACAAAAATGTTTAGCTAAGCAAGTTTATTCTATTTGTGCAATTGGTCCACATTTATCTTGAGGTAATCAACAGTTGTCCAAAAGGACTTAAAACTCACTCAATAGTAGGTAATCCAGGCATGGTATAGAAAGATAACCAAGTACACATATTTGGAGAGGTCACAAACCTGAGAAGAACCTACTTTTCTCATTTTCTGAGGCCAGATAATTTCTTACTATATTCTGAATTTATATCTTTATGTTTAGGAATAAATATAGCTTTCTCCACTCATCAAAGATGCTTCTTCCAACAGATGGAGGCTATTATGAAAGTCAACAGCTGTTCAGATGCAGAGAATATGTGTCTGGAAGTTGCCAAGCCTTAAATGATACATCTACAACAGATGTAAGACTCGGGAAACATCACAGAATAGGGGGTGGAAAGATTGTAAGAGCTAGAGGAACAACAAGACATCTGTTGTTAGTTCATGCATTCTAGAAATTATAGGAAAGCTACAACCAAGAAATCTTCACAGTATGGTAATGTACCAAGGTCTGCATAATGGCAAATGCAGTTGACATGCCAATTTTCATGGGGAAAAGTTTACAAGATCCCACCTCAAGAGAAGCTGCAGGCAATCAATGGATACTGTGGGAGGGAGAATCAGTTTTCTTCAGGGACCAGCTCTTGAGAGGTTATTTAATCCTATCTGGGCAGCCCTAAAGCATGTACACACGAGGAACAGTAAGTGGATTCACTGCATTTTATATGTGTGTTTATAAATATGTGTATGTGTATATAACAATAATGAAAAGGAAAAAAATTAGAAGAGGACATGGGAGGTGTTTAAGGAGGACTGGGAGGTGAGGAAATAGCGTAAAGTCAATACTCATGTATGAAATTCTCAAAACAATAACAATAAGGAAATATAAAATAGTATAAATGAAGTTATGCTGTAATGGGGAGACAACTCCTTTACTAAACAACACATGATAGTAAATAAATAACATAATTTCTGGAAGAATAATACTTCTTTTGGAGTTGTTCACCAGTGGGTCCTATAGAATCCTAAACATTACTGGTCATTGACACTGCTTTGGGTTATTCTTGAAAATTTGGTGATAATATCTTATTGCTGAAGACACTACACACTTGGGAAATCGAACTGGTACTTAAACTAAAGCTTCATCTATAGAAAATAGCTTTTATAATTCTGGAAGGTGTTATGTATACTACTGGTGGAGAAAAGTAATTATTATTTGAGGGTCTAATGGGGGACATTGACTCACAACTCCAAAATAGGGAGTCAATTCCTGGTATTAAGATTTTTATTTGCTAGTCTTTCGTGTCTGCTAGAGTTGTTGCTCATCAAATACAGGGTACTCTAAAAACTTTTATTATATGTGTCTATATTTTAAGAAGCTTCAACGTTAGTAGTTTCCCATATAACCTTTTAGAAAGGACCTGTAGTGTTACTTATGTCTCATCATACTCTGTCTTCTGACATTTCATTTCTCACCTCATTTAACCCTTCCTCTTCCATTATTTCTCATTCTCCCTTTATATCACTACATTTAGCTTTCTCTCCCTTGAATACTTCCCATGGCCCCTTATTAGTGTCCTGACCTCTATAGACTTTCAAATTGAAACACACATATCAGAAGTTACAAGGCTAGCACTCACCTATGAGAAAATGAGAATAAATATGTACCATTTGTCTTTGGGGGTCTGGGTTAACTCACTTAGGATGATTGTTTCCATCTATTTTCTTATGAATTTCATAATTTCACTATTTTTACCATCTGAATATTATGCAGTATAAATATATCACATTTTCTTTATTAAGTGACTATTGTAAACAGAGAAGCAAGGAACATGGATGAGCATGGTCTCTGTAGTAGAATCCAGAATCCCTTGTGAATATACCCAAGAATGGCATGGCAGGATCATGTGGTAAATATCTTTTTAGCTTTTACAGGGACATACATGTTAATTTACATACTGGTTATACCAGTTTGTGCTCCCACTAGCACTAGATAAGACCTTCCTTTTCTCCATATTCTCACCAGCAACTATGATCAATTTTCAATCTTAGTCATTCTGACTGGGCTAAACTGCAATGTCAAAGTAGTTTTAATTTGCATTTCATGATGGCTAAAGTTATTGAATATATTTTGTAATATTTTTCTGCCAATTTTATTTCACTATTTCAGGAATTTCTATTTAGTTCCTTGTACCAATATGCACAAATATGCAATTGGTTATTTGTGTTTTCATCTTTAGTTTTTTGAGTTGTGTATTGTAAATACTAACACTCTTATCAGATGTATAGCTGGTAAAGATTTTTTATCCCATTCTCTATGCAGCATCTTCACTTGACTAATGTCCTTTGTAGTACAAAAGGCTTTAAAGTTTCATGAGGTCACATTTTCGGTTAATAATCTTAATGTCTTTGCTATCAGCATCCTACTGACAAGGTTATTTCCTTTGTCTATAAATTCCAGGGCATTATTCACTTTTTTCCTTTATGTACATTAGGGTATCAAGTCTTATGCTGAGGTTTAAACCATCTGGAGTTGAGTTTTGTGTAGGGTAAGAGATAGAGATCTAATTAGATTCATGTACATTTAGCTCATATGTTTAAAAGCTGTGTAATAGCATTAATTGGTTACTGCCAGTACCATTGGATACTGTCCTGAACTTGATGGGAAGATCTAATTCCTGAGATACTACATATGTGAGATATAGACAACCATGCAGAAATCAAGCTGATACTGATCTCAAAGTTTCATTTTTTTTGCCTTGCTTTCATAGTGTTATAAGGTACTTTGTAGGCTACTCAAGGAGAAGATTAATTTTCAGCATTAGCCAGCTCTGAACCATGTGAGCTTCAATAATTCCAGGTCGGGCATAATTTCCTGCTGAGGTATTAGTAACACAAATGCTGTGGGAACACCCAACCACTATCTGATTTCATTTTAAAGTCCCATTTCACAAGATGGAGTCAATAA